TATACCGAAAGCTAGTGTTGCCATGCTGTTGTCATTAAGGGAAACCTAAGTGTTAACAATTTATTGCTAATATCTAAATATCATGAGCTTGGTTTTATTTTCATTAAATTAGAAGTTTTTGAGCTTTTTCTTATGTCTTTGGTACCGATTTGAATTCTAATTTTAATTGCTCAAGTTAAGTCACAACTGTACAGAAAAAAAAGAAGTAGGTAAAAATATATATACATCTGTAGATATACCGTATTATACTGAATGGGATACTAATCATCTTATACGATAGATGGTTAACGAGTTAGCAAATGTATTTGCAGACATGCTTTTATTTTGAGTCTTATTATTTACCGATTCCCCTCACCGCTGTGGGTTTGAATCCCGACAGGAACTTTGGATTCTTTCATGTGAGGAAGCTATCCAGCTAGCTTACGGAACGTCGGTGGTTCTACTCAGGTACCCGTTCGTGCCTGAAAAAATGCACGGACGGGCACCTGAGGTCTTCCTCCATCAGTAAAGCTGGAACGTCGCGATATGACCTATACTGTGACGATGTGACGTAAAACCCAAAACAAGAGCCCGGTTTGAGCCGGGTGATGCTCCCCGAATAGGTTTTGGACACAGGAAAGTATACCTCTTGTAGTTTCAGAGTTATGTCCCTGGAAAAAGTTCAAAGTGCAATAATTCTAAAATTAGGAAAGGCAGAGTTACTGTTCTTTCTACTGTTCTTTCTTATAAAGTTTCTTGTTGATATCTCTTGTGGTTTCCGAGTTATGTTCCGGACAAATTCAAAAGTAAAAATAAACAAATGGCAATAACTCCAGAATTAGGCAAGGCAGAGTTATGATTCCCGTGCAATGTACATCTACCCATTGAGATACATCTACGTACAAAGTTGCCTGTTGATATCTCTTATAGTTTTACAGTTATGTCCAGTACAAGATTTTTCTAAAAGGGGAGATAATTCAAAAATGAGGCTTAACAGAGTTATGGTTTTTTTGCACTGCACTACAATGTTTCATCTTGATATCTCTTATAATTTTAGAGTTATGTTCCGGACAAAGTTCAGTGTTAAAATTAACAAAGGTCAATAACTCCAAAATTAGGACAAAAAGAGTTATTGTTCTTATGCACTGCACATCTACCTATTGAGATCTATTCACCTACAAAGTTTCATGTTGATATCTCTTATAGTTTTAGAGTTATGCCCCGGACAAGATTTTTCTATAAGGGGAGATAATTCAAAAACCGGGCAAACTAGAGTTATGTTTTTTTGACACTGCACTCCCTCTCAATGCCCTCTACCACTGTATGAAGTTTAAACAAATTATCTCCAAGGGTTTTCAAGTTATGCTCGGGACAAGAAAACGGACAGACAGACGGACGGACGGACGGACAGACCGACAAGGCGCCGACTATATGCTCCCCCGAAATTTTTCGGGGAGCATAAAAACAAACAAACATTTACCGATCAAAATATAAAGATAATTTGCTATTAAACTTAATATGTTATTATGATTGATATTTTCCTTCATTATTGTTTCTTCTGACTATTTTTTTATGTTGATTTATGTTAAAGCCAGGGCAAAAATGAAGACGTATTTTTGTTTGTTTATTAATAATTGACATGTTTATGCTTTTGGCAAGAAATCTTACCGAAACGAAATGTAAGAAAACCTATTGCATGCATGCCAGTACATTTAGCATAAAAACAACTAACAGGTTAGGTATACTATATATATATATATATATATATATATATATACAATATGTTCTTGACCATTCATTCTCACAAAAATTTCCTTACACAAATATATATCATACAAAACTTGCAAGCTAGCACACATATATATACCTATATTGTTATTTTATATAATTATACAAAAACACATACTCACACACACACATACACACATACACGCTCGCACGCACGCACACACGCAAGTACGCATGCACGCACGCACACAAATACAAGTATATACATGCATACACCATATTTACATACATGTATATATATAAACATGTTCATGCATTTATAATTGTTTTAAACATTTTTTATCATTTAAAAACATTTATTAATCATAACTAATTAACATTTTTCATTATTATCTCTAGAACCTGACATAATTTGATTGATTTTATTCTCACTATTAAATAATTGATTGTTTTTCAGTATATTTGGATGTCTATAATAGTATGCTTTAACAAACTTTTTTCTTTCATCAATAAAATTTTTGCATTCAAGTACAGAATGAAATTTATCACCAACATGTATGTGACATAATTGACACTTTCTTTCTGGTATAGGAATACTATGCCATCTTCCAACCTCATTTGGCAGTCTGTGGTTTCTACACAAGAATGCCATCATTGTTTTACAGTTCTTTTTGGGAAGAATTTTGATATAATTACTTTGCACAAAATTTTCTTTAACAAGATTATAACACTTAGCACTAGATCTTTGTGAAATATTTCCTTTCCAATTTTGCATAGATTGATCTTTTATCTTTTGTTTAAATGATAGTGACCATTTTGCATTAATATCTGAGAAAACATTCCAAAGATATCCACAGCCATTTGATACTAATAAATGTCTAACATTTATAATCTATTTACATTTTATTTGGTTTTGATTAATAAACATATTAAAATATAAATTACTAAATAATTTTCCGAATTCAACATTATGTAACCTACTCCAAAAAGCAATAATTCTAGATTTTATATCTACTTCCAGTGGTAGCACACCTAGTTCTCCATATATCATATTAGATGGAGTACTCTTTTATAGATTTAAATTTAATTTATTTTTTTACCTGTACTCTTTCTAATATATCTAAATTGCCACACCTCCAAATTTCACAACCATACACTTAAATTGGTCTAATAGTTTTACAAATTATCAACTTGTAGATTAATAGGTAAATAAAGTATTCTGGTCTTTTTTAAAAGTGAAAACATGGCTTTATTTGCTTGTTCTGCAATATGCTTTTTGGCTGTTCAATTGCCGCCACTTCTTGATACATATATGCCTAGGTACTTATTTTCATTTACTATGTCTAATTTTTGACCATTGAACAAAAATTTTATATTATAATTCTTTTTTCATCGTACCCACTAGTAATATTTTGGTTGTGCTAACATTGACAGTTAATTTCCACTTTAAACAATATTTTTCAAATATATTCAAATCAAACTATTCTGTAAGTCTGCTTCATTTTCACTAACTAAAACAGTATCATCTGCATAAAGAATTATACAAAAAATTTTGGGGGAAAATTGAATAAAAAACCCTTTTCAAAAAAGGGGGGAAAAAAAAAACCCTTTTTTTGCTTTTTTCCCCCCAAAAAAAACTATTTTTTTTTATTTTTTAAAAAAAAAAGGAAGAAAAATTTTTTTGAACAAAAAGGGTTTAAATTCTTTTTGGGGTTGGGAAAAATGTCGGGTTTTAAAACTGGGCCCTTTTAAAAATTTTTCCCTAATAAAAAAATTTTTTTCCCTACCTCCCTTAAATTCAATTACTATCTTTTAATTTAGTTTTGGAAAATTTTATTTCCCCAAAAAAGGGCCTTTAAACCAGGGGGGAAAATGGGGCCCCCTGTCTTTTGGTTTACCCAAAAAAACCCCACTTTTTTTTTGGAATTTGATGGTTTTTGGGAATGCAAAATTTTAAATCAAAATTTAAGAACCCCTTTTTAATATTTCATTAAAGTTGGGTAAAAAGGGGAAAAAAATTTACCTTATAAAGCCTTTTAAAAAATTTTTCCCCTAAATTAAATTTTCCCCAACCCACTTTTGGAACCCCCTTTCTTTTGGGTTTTGTAAAATTTTTTCCCCAAAAAGGGGGTTTTTAAGGGCCACAAAATTTTTTGGCCCGGTTGTTTGTGTCAATTCCTTTTTCGCAGAACCCCTTGGAAAAAACAAATGAATAAAAAACAAGGGGGGCCCAATAAAAACAAAAGGAAATTTGGGGTTTCCAAGTAAACCCATTAGACAAAAAATCTGAATGTAAAATTTTGACCCCCAATTTTGGGTTTTTAAAAAAAACGATTTTTTTAAATTTTAAATCTAAATTCCAAACGAAAATTTGGGATTCAAAAAAGCAAACCCTTGTTATTGGTAAAAGGAAATTTAAAACACATAATAGAAGGAAAATTGAATGAACGCAGTTTAATATTAAATTTATTGAACGAGTTGAACAAAATCATATTATACGAGTCTCTGGCGAACATAATATTGTTTTATTCAACGAGTTCAATAGATTTAGTATTGAACATACACGATTACAATATTCGTTTTATCACATATGTAAAATAAGAACAGTAAACTGTTTAAATGAGTAATTTTTCAATGACGCTTATATAGTATAAGGCTTACATTATTGCGCTTTAACGTCATGTTTCCATACGGCGCAAATGACGTGACGACAAAATGTTATTACACTAGTGTAATATTATTTCATTAAATGACTAAATTTCATTCCTGCGCTGCGGTTTTTGTGATAAAAGTATTTTCTGATTTCAATCAACATATTTTCTTTACACAGAAATCAGACCGGCATGGAATTTTGTGTTTATTATCTCAAAACTTATATAACCAGATAATCTGATAATTATATTTGTCAGTAATTAAATAATTTATCTATATTATGATTAACTAAGCAGTCTAAAAACGATGTTGGTTATGATACACTCCGTATTAGGAACCTCCAAAACACAGAAGGAAATGGCAAAGTTAATACACATGCAGTAGAAATATCATCAGACGCATTAGATGCAAATAAGAGCGGAAACACACTGAAAATTAAACTACAATAATCACATGAAATGTAACATTTAAAAATATTGATAAAATTAGATAAATAAGAGAGATAATCAAAGGAAATTTATAAAACAGAATTTCAACGACAACAATGCTATTTTGTGTGAAACTCATGAACAAAAGAATCAGTACATCAGAAAACCATTTAAAACACATAAAAGATAATAGTCATGTAGATAAATAAAAAAACGAAAAAAAAAAACGAATCTCTAAAGAAAGCCCTAAAGGACATGACTAAAAATTTCACGCGCTCAGTCTTATTGAGTTCTAGTAATTTCAACTACTGTCCATGTCCCGTACCACCGCACTTAGCAGAAAAGTCATGGCATGTTAAGAGAAACAAATCATAGTCGATGACCTGATGAACCAAATCAGACAATTGAAGGTCTTCGAGTTCCCAAGAGACTACAAAAAATGGCTTCAAAATGTGTTATGTCTTCACATATGAAAATATCTATTTAAGAACGATAGCAAAATAACAAATGATTTTGTATATACGTAAAGTGCAGTCTCACTTATAAAACACATTTTAAACGAACATGTCCCAGGTGGTACTGACAGAAAAGTCTTACGGCATGTATCCATTGATAACCCATCAACGAAGCCTCTTCATTTTGATTTTGGTTGGGACAAAAGTTGCATTTACCATCCAATATTTTTCTCGTATTTTTATAATCACATGCATGGCTTTCCGTGCAATATTTGCCAATTCCAATTTTTCCCTCAATTTCTCCTGTACATCTAGATATAACAAAACATATTCATCAGAAAAATGTAGCAGCAAAACTCCGTTTTATAAATCGTTGAAATCTTAAATTAATATAATTATTTTCAAGTATGTTTAGTAAAGAATATTATTAAACCAGACTGAGAATTGATGACTCAATGGTTCAATACAGATTAAGGCGCCATATTTATTTATAAATTTAAACTTAAGGTAAATTTCTATTCATGAGCATACAAACCTCGTTGGTTTCCACTCCCCATCGTGCTGGTAAAATTGGGAACTATTACTGAAAATAGGATACTCATCGTATAAGCCATATCGTAGATGACCAAACTCGTGCACTATCACGTTATCTGTAACGTAATGTAATCAGATTTTTCAGAATACTTAAATTCTTAAGCTTTTACATATGCTTGCATAAAAATAACATTAATTGAAAAAGGAATGCGTAAGTTAATAGATTATCGTGACCACGTACCGTTCTTATAGATATTTTAACATGCTGACTCAAGACGCAATTGTAAAGTATAGAAAACTAAAATGACGTCCGGCTGTTTCATCTTCAATACCTACTTTAATCTGTCAAATGATACCGCCGCACTAGTTAGCACATAGAAAGTATAACAAATGGTTTCTTAATACAATTAAATAGATAACGAAATATGAAACAACCTAATTAGACGTTAAATTAAAACAGGAAAAACGCTACTGCACCTTTTGGGCGTATTTGACACTTGCAGAATACTTCGGTTTTGAACTTCAAATTTGTACTCCTACATTTAACAATTGTTTATACATGGCTTAAAGTGCATAAACCCTTTATCCTTGCTTTACAATTTTATATTCAGACTAAATACGTTCTGATAATGTTCATGTACATATGTTAGTATACTTTGGAACCGAATTAGTGGATTTATTTCATCTTGCTTGGTGATTTTGGGATTTACATTATGCTTGCTCATTGTGCATCATTTAAAAGACAGTATTGTGTTCGGTGTTTAAGATAACATTCCTTGTTTGTTCTTGATATAACTAGATTTGAAATGGTAAGCTCCTGTATGTACCTATAAAAGTGTAAGTGCTATAAATCTGCCATTTACATTGTCGACAATATTTCACAAAAGATAATTGATTTTGATCAATTTTTTTTTTGCGAATTTGACGTGTCTTAGTAATTATATGGTTCAATATATTCACTAATAACAAATATAATGCAATACATGATCACTGCGCATCGACAACGAAGATGACATCGATAGCGATATTATAGTCGCATGTTAGAGTACGCACAATAAGCAGTTGGCGGTAAGCATAATGCGAGTTGCAATATTTTGTTTTCATGTTATGACAGCAGGTGTCGCTTTATCGGTACATCCCGTTATTTTCCGGATGGACCCACTACTTTTGCAAACTAAATTTTCACCTTGTTTAACAACAGTGAGAATGTCTCAAAAGTCTCATTTCTACTTTAATTTCGCTGTTTTAATGGTTTTAATAATTATCTAATAAAAGGTAAATGATGCATACCATGCCTGCCCCAAGATGTTTGCCCTGTTTTCAAAATAAATTTTTCTGAATGAAGGTACATGTATGAACCTCCAGTGCCACATGCTTTTACCCCATATACCCTTGGCGTGCCTATTTCGTTTTGTTTAGTGTTGTCAATAATTATTATCTGTTTGATGTCTGAGGGTATCATGGCATTCTTGTATTTTTCCTTTTCTTGCCATGTCTTTGGTATAATAACTTTGATTTTTCCGAAGTAAAGATAATTCTTGGTGGCTGTAAACAGTAGTTTAGATGCGTCTGTAAAGATTTTCTGAAATTCATGGAAGGTTATTTATAAGAAATTGTAGGATATATAAATGCATTATGCCACGCTCTCAAATTTCTAGATTCTAGTGTAAGAACCAATTCAAACAAAACTATTCAAGCTTATTTCTAACAGTTGTTACGTTAACAAAATGTAAAATAAGTAAAAGAAAAACCTGATTCTTAAGATAGTTATAAAAAAACACAATAACCGTACCAAAAGAATTCAATGACATTACATACAATAACTCGACTAAATAAGGAAGATGACGAAGAAAATAAGGATAATTCAGTCCCAATAAGTTTTCAAAAACTGAACATCATAGGTTATCCACATTGTTCTCAGTTATTATCAACTGTCGGCCATATTTGCCTGCTTTTCATTTACCTGACTTCCCATTTGTTCACGATTTAAGGAATTGATAGATAATTATATTTTGTCTTGTTTTCTTTAGAAATAGAATTATTTCCAGTTCTGGTGAAAATCTTGATCAGCAGACTGGAACAATTTTGGTAAATTCTCCAAAGGACCTTCTAACGACTTTTGTGTATAGTTTCATCAAAATCGACCAAATAGTTAAGACGCAATATTTATAGAAATGATCAAATTCTTATTTCGGTTTGATAGTTTCAACAAAATCTTCCTTAAAGTTCAGGAGAAGATGACATTTTAAGTTATCTTTAAGCCCTGGAAGATTTTTTATTCGGTGCATCGGTACAAATTTAGCAACTGTAGTAAAGTATTGCCAAATGATTTCTTTACAGTTTTATCAAAATCTATTGGGCGATTGAAGACATATAACCTGTATTTTCTATCTTTACCTCGAAAAATCATCATGTTTAGCAGACCGGATCTTTTGGAGCAATTATTCAAATAAACTGTCCAATGATCATTCCTGTAGAGTAAGTCATAATTTAAAAATATCAGTTTTTTATTATCATTATTTAACACTTTTACTATTTTAGCAATGACGAAAATCTTTCCAACAGACGTGAACCATAAGAGCATTTTATAAAGGTCCATTTTAGAATCATGTCTTAAGTTTTATCAAAAGCTACCAAAGGGAGAGATGGCGTTGAAATGTGGGTTTTTTTACTATTTTGAGTTCTGGCGGCCATAAGTGGGCCAACCAAGGTTTATTCTTGTACAGTTTCAACACTTTTTATATAGGAGCGTAGGAGGTGAAATTGTTTAAGTTAAAATGTTAACAATGGATGACACACGGAAGACGGCGGACATTGGCGTATCCAATATCTCACAATAAATACACCTGGGGCGCATAATAAAGCTACCAAACGTCTAATTGTTTAACCAAAAAAAAAAAATTTTACCTGTATACGCTCCAGAAGAATGTCACTGTCCTCGTTGTTGTCTTTAATAACAATATACATATCTTCATAACCGCCATTATTTACACTGATTGGAGCAACGTATTCGAAGCACCAACAAATTATAAGAAATACCAAAATCTTCATTGTTTGCTTTCGACAATATCCTTATTATAAGTGATATGTTTAAAATGATTTCATACATTGCACAATGTCAACACACTGTATAAACTACCAATATGTCATTGTATGGGTCCTTATCGCTTTGTGCAATTTTGGCACTGACTTCGATAATTTTACATTGAACATGAAAGTTATATTTACGGTTGCACAAAGGTGACACGTGCATTTTTTATTTATCTAATAAGCAACTTGAACATGCGTACAAGTTTCTATGTCGGGAAAAATAGTTACTATGTCTGTGTCCTTGAACAGTGATCTAATGATATGAAAATTAATAAAGATTTTCTACTGGCCACCTTGGAACTAAGGACAATGTCCCTATCAAGTAACAAAGTAAGTGTTACTTCTCAGGTTATAAAATGGACAAGGGTTTTCATCAAGCGTCAATGTAACAATGATATTTGACCTAATGACCTCAAAATCATTAGGTTGCCTCAATAGATTAAGTGGTGCAATGTCCGTACAAGGTTATATAAAAACATGGCTTATTCCGTCTCAAGTTATTTATCAGACGAAAAGTTTACATTAACTGTCATAGTCTACTGGTCATTAGTCACGTCTCTACCAAATTAAATAAACCAGGGCTTATTCATTCTCAAGTTATCGTATGGACAATGATAATAGGCCGTTTGTACGCGCGTACTGATCAACTTTCACTCGACGGTCCCCACTTAGTCATAATTTGTGTCTGATTAATAAGCCTTGGATAGTGACTTCATAATATAATTCTGAAGCTATGTATTAAGTTTCAGTTGAATACCTTCAATATTTTGAAAGATTAATGTTGCATGCAAAACTTTATCCAGGTATTTTCTAATTAAAAAAGTCATATACATGAAAAAATGCAATGGAACATCCCTCACGCCCCCCCCCCCCATCACCGGCTTAAGCGATACTCAATTTTCAACACTTAAAGGTGCTGTGGAAAGAATCATTGTTTATATTGTTATATTTTTGGAAATGTTATATATGTGTTTATTATTGCCGAAATTGTTACAATGTGGCGATCGGAATTAAAAGTTTCAATTTGAAATAGAATAAATCTAACTGATATATAACAGTTGTGTTTTTTGAACCTGTTATAAATCAGAGGATGGGACGGGTCCCAGTAGCAAAACACATAGATTAATTGGATGATATCGGGTCATTTTTCTTGAAATGAGAAATAAAAGGTAAAGGGCACAAGAGAGGGAAAAGCACCGAACATTGTAATTTTTGCCAATTTCTGTAACAATAAATATATATATAATTGCGATAAAACAGTTATAATTTATGAAATTCGTTAGGTACGTGGATAAAACTCTGGCTTGGCGACATCTCTAAATATTTCTGCCTAAAAATCGTCTCAGCCTATCGGTCTCATATTTTTAAAGCTTAAGCTTAATCGATTTTGCGGCGGCCGAGACGATATTTTTTGTAGAAGACGCCCACGCCAGTGTTATACACTCGTAACAAACGCGTTTTATATACTTTAACTAATAAAAAGTCAAGATAAAAAATATGGTCATTGAAAGATAGATAAATACTAAATACAATGACATGGATCGTTTTAAAATGTACCAATTTACGACCTACCGTTATGTAGCCAAGTGGTATGTTTAAAAAAATGAAAGCTACACCATGACTTTTCTTTTATTTGTTTTTCATTTACATTGTTTTTTGATTTATTTCGATAATGTATGTCTTTGTTTCAAGCTGAATGGCAATCCCTCCTACTGTTCTTTTTAACAATCATTTAAAAGTGTCTTCTTACAATCTTACAAAGAAGACACATTTAAATAGTTGTTCTAAAGAACAGTAGGAAAGATTGCCTTTTATTATGAAAGCTGGGTGGGCTTAAAAATATTGAAAGTGCACTTGAACTGATATTGAAATTAAGAGGTTTTTTTCTCAATTTTTAAAAAGATGAATCATATCCATGCAGTTTATTCAAGACAAAATGTTTCTTATCTTTCTTTTCTCTTCTTCTTCTTCTTCTTCTGCTTCTCTTCCTGTTTTTTCTGCTTCTTTTTCTTCTTCTTCTTCTTTAAATGTTCTGTCATACGTTATTACTTTATCGAAAGTTAATATACTTAGTTTATATTTCGCATAATTGATAAATTTACTGAAGAGTTTTGACACTCCACAATATTATTATTTGACATTTATGGAATTTATATAAATAAATCACATTTAATGCAGTCGTATGTAAACATGCATATAGGATGCAAGGACTTAAACTCATTGTAATAGAAAATAAATGTTTTGAAGAAAGTACAAAATGTGCAGACTTAATATCTAAATTTAAATTTCATTGAATTTCCTTGGCATTTAATTTTGAAGACAGCATTGAATATGTAGCAAAGCGCAGATAATATTGATTTATAGGATTAACAACAGATTTAACAACTTATCGCACTGATATCTTATATGCTATACAATGTGTCTGTTTTGTTGTTTACTTGTTTTTCGTCTGCAATTATTAATAGAATGAATTCTTTTTTGTAAACTTAAGTGCCACGTCAATTAATGATATATAAAAAGACAAAGAAATAAAAATAAAAAATATGAATTTTCTTTTGAAGGTAATATAAAATTACACTCTTACTTGGTAGCATAATATAAATCATGAAATAAGCACTGTTTGCGACTGGGACTTATAATATCATATATAAGATAGTAATAGTCCCAGATAATATAAAAAGAGTGTTTTCTTTTAAATGTGTACTCAATAGTCTTTGCCCGATATGATTAGCTTTTATATCAAATAAACCGTTTTCTTTTATTTTAAATTGTTGTAACTTTACAAAATGTAGCGTCAAGGTTCAAATGCAAATTGTTTATTTTCTATGTCAAATTTTGGAACACAAGTTTTATTTTGCACTTAATGAAACTAATCAATATAAAGACATATCAAGTTTCGTGTCGCAAATTATCATGACGAACACAAACTCTTGCAATCCTTTGAATAGTTATTGTTGTTTCCCTTGTCGCACCATTATTATTTAGAAATAAAGGACAAAAATAAAAGGCGGCTTTTTCCATGTGACCGATATGCTTGTAGAAGATAGCTTAACATCGATTAAAAGATAAGCAGTATTTATAACCTGATGCAGATTGAACAAATACGTTATACAGGTAAAGAAATTTGCACTCTTGAGTATCTGAATAGTATTATAGACTACCTCTAACATGATCATGTATATAAAATCAAAACATCAAGAAGCAATTATAAATACCTTAGTTAAATCTGATTGAATTGAAATCTCAAGTTTGCAATGGGAAAACAAATTATGTTTCTGCCAACTTATACGTTCTGGGATATAATGCTATGGAAACGTTGATAACTTATTAACTTTGTCATTTCACAAAGCCCAATAACAAACTCAAATCAATACACACAGTTATTGATCATTTTAATACTTAATAAGGGTACTTGTAAATTTATACGTTCAGTGTCTTGATTGATAATTATTATAGTAATACAACTGTAAGGTTATTAATTACAAACTATTATAACATAAAGTTTGCCACTACATCTATTATAATTCAAATTAATACATTATGAAATGATAAGTGACAAAATATGCATGTCAATCTGTACCCAAGATAAAAACTACTTCACAGTTTACACAAACATCTGTCTTTAAATTTTAAGTAAACATTGTTTAAAAGCATATTTATTTCCTCTATTACAAATGTTATTTGGACCTGCTTTGACCTTTAATTGTGTTACATTGCATTGATATTCAAGACAATTGGATATGCCAATCCCCCGTCAAGGTCTGCAACAATAACTGATATACAGATATATCAGTACACCGTCATTGCAATAGAAAAAGTAATTTTCGTGGTAAAGCGTTATAGCATGACTATAGTAACTATTTTCATTTAGAATATAGTAACGGTGTAAATATTTGATCATAAAAAGGACGGTTTTTATGTAAAATAGTTGACGGTTTTCAAATACAATATTGGAACGGTTCCAGTCTAGAATATAAGAACGGTTTCATGTAGAATATCGGAACAGTTTTCATATACGTGCAGTTTGCTGTTACGGTGAACTTTCAAAAAGAATGAAGGTCGAATGTGCATAGCCACTTAAAAGGTCATACGATTATATTTATGGATTATGTGTGTGTATTGATGTGTTTAACAAACACTTATATACTAACAAAACAAGGCAAGAAAAATAAACAAACTTATTGAATTATTCCATCTTAACTGAGTATTAAAAACTATAAATAAATATAACAGCTAGCAAAAACTAACAATTATATATTTTTTGTACCACTTAAGTTAAACAGTTTGATCAAATGTCGTGAAGATCGAACATCATTATGCACTGACAACGACCGATCTACGATGATATAATAGATAGCAATTATATAGAGGTCATTTATGACTTCGACTGCCTGAAATCACACGAACATGGCCATTATTTTTTTTGTTAATTGAACATCAGCTTATCATTATCGCAATTTTTTTTAAGTCATACGTTCTGATAACTCGCAAATTGATACAGAAATGGTGTCTTTCTGTGTTCAAAATTTTGCTATCTTAAATAATCAGCAGTCAAATATGTCCAAAAACTGAAAGCTTTTTTTTGAACATCTGTTGTTCTAATCAGACGAATAAGACACTGTTTTATCAAACATCTTAATTGAGACATTTGAGCTAACGTATGATAAAGATGTCAGTTTGACGTTCAGGATTTTGTTTCGTTTAAATTGTCAACTCACTTGTGGACGGAATGATTTGAAAAATTGCCTCCACTTTTTGAAGCATTGTTTTGTTCTTGGCCATATCCATGTCAAATAAGATTGACTTTTTTGTGGGGAAGACAGATTATTTCGTTATGGTAAATTACCATGATTTGCATAATGTTTATTAATGTTTACAACTGCCATTGTATGAAATCTCTAACTTGACGGATATAATATTTAATCAAAGCCCCCAATTACACATAATGCTTAAACTGTTGAACTCACTTCCGTCATTTTTCGGTTTGTAATTTGATTATTCAACTGACAGCTATTAAGGATTTCATTTTGCAATCCCACCAAAAATTAAATGAAATTAACCTCCAAGGAAGGAAGTCATGCAGGCTAGGTTTATAAACATATGGGTCACTTTCTAATTGCTTTATCGTTGTTTTTTTCATTCCTATAACAAAGAGAGCCTTGGAAAACATGTTTAAATTACTCAAAGTTACTTTTTGTTCCAACCATTGAATATTTATATATTCATTATTATTTTCATAGATTATATTATGAATACAATCGATGTAAAGTGATTTAGAGTATTAATTCATGGTCCTGCACATATTGAAGAGAAAATAAATATACTTGCAACCAGCAAACTCAAAAATAGTTAATATTTTTATATGGTATGTTTCAAGTTTTAAATTTAATATACATCGTTCACAGAATAAAATCATATGCCAGTCATAATGAATTAGAGTTAGACATCTGACGTTTATTGTTTAATTAATAAAACAATCTTATCACATAAACCTACGAAAACCGTTTCACTAAAACGATAACTTACTAAATAATATTGTTTTCTTTCATTTAAGATCTTCTCTTCACAATATCGATACAAACGATGTCTTAAAAATTGAAATTTCATTCATTTCTACTTAATTATAATTGTTATATTTCATGCTATTTCATTAGGATTATTCATTAGGAAGAAAAGCTGTGAACATTTTTAGGAAACGCAATAACAAAGAGAGACAACTGATACATCTTCAAAACAAATACACTGATAAATTACACCCTTTTTCATTTATACCCCGATATTTTCTTTATTTAATTATCAAATTAAAAATAACAATAACCATAACCAAAATGTTATATTAGTAACGAATCGTTGATAATTCTTTTACTGAAATATGCTGGAAACAATTATATTTTTATGTAGAAATAACCTCGGAATGCACATACGGCATTTCTGTGTAACCTACACTAAGAAAGTAAACATGTAAACAAATAGTAATTTTATGCTAAGAGTTCTTGACTGTGTATATTTCAATATATCTAGTAAAAGTCCACCTATATAATTATAAAAGTAAACAGTACATAATTTGCTGTTAAGTCTAAAGGGCCAACTCACATTGGACGGAATGAAGGAAAAATTGCCACCACTTTTGAAGCATTGTTTTGTTATTGGCGATGTCCATGTAAAATTAGATTGACTCCATTGTGCGAAGACAGATTAGTTCGTTATGGTAAATTACCATGATTTGCATAATGTTTATTAATGTTTACAACTGCTATTTTATAAAATCCCTAACTTGACGGATACAATATCAAATCGAAACCACCAATGTCCACAGAGTGCTTGAACTGTTGAACTCATTCTTTTTCGGTTTGTAATTTGATTTCTTCAAATGACAGCTATTAAGGATTTCATTTCTGCAATCCTAACAAAAAGCGAATGAAATTGCCCTCCAAGGAAGAAAATCATGCGCACAACGAATTAAAACATATGGGTCGTTTTCTAATTGGTATATATTTGATTCAGTTGTTCTAATTTCCATGAGCAAAGGGAGCCTTGGAAAACATGCTCAATTTACTCAAAGTTACTTTTTGTTCAAACTATAGAATATATATATATATTCAATATAATTTTCAACCGGCATAGATTTAATTATGAAAACAATCATTATCAAGTGATATAGAGTAGTATGTCACGGGCCTACATGAAACAAGGAAATTCAAAAATAATAGATCTTTATACGGTATGTTTCAAGTTTTAAATAACTGTATATTTGTTAACAAAAACATATGCCAATTATAACCAATTAGTGTTAATATATCTGACGTTTATTGTTTAATCAATAAAGCACATAAACGTACAAAAACCGTTTCACTTAAACGGTAACTTACTAGATAATATTGTTTTCTCATATTTAAGATCTTCTCTTCAGAATATTAATACAATATTTGTCTTAGAAATTGAAACGTCGTTCTATTCTACATAATTCTAATTGTTTTATTTCACTTTATCTCATTTGAGGTCTGAAAGTGATTCTATTGTACACTCAATAGGAAGACAATGTGTTATTTTTCAAAAGAAACGCAATAGCAAAGGAATACAACTTTTATTTCTTAAAAATGAATAACCTGATAGATTCCATCCCTTTTCATTTATACCCTGTATTTTCTCACTTATCAATTTAAAAAGAACAGTAACAATAACCATAACCAAAATGTTACATTCGTTACAAATCGTTGAAATTTTTTTCACTGAAGTGTGATGGGAACTATTTTATATTTATGCAGAAATAACTAAATTGATTGCTATTGGCAATCGGAATTTTTCGGCCTTTTCCGCCAGTCTTCGGGCAAGAACGTTGGATACAATAGTAAATACACATATAGTATTTCATCGGTCTAACCTACGCTAAGAAAGTAAACATGTAAACAAATAGTAATTTTATGTTGGGAGTTTTTGTTTATTCCAATTTATCTAGTAAATGTCCAAATAAGTTAAGGTGACAACAGTCACTTTCCGTGGTACTCACATAAATGTCATTTAAACAAAGTTATTTTAGTAATAATTGTTATTTATTTAATCTTTGTGCATTAAATATCGTTGATAATCATAAAAAATAACATATTTGAAAAAAATGCCTTTGTAAATGATTGATTTTGAATAAAAATCCTAAAATTTTAAATCGTCATATCAAAGTCATTTTTTATTTTTTTGTCATCAAACTTTTGGAAAATAACCATACTTATATTATCTGGGGAACCGTGTCTCAAATTTTTTCTATCTTTTCTCAAAAAAATATTACGTAACGTCAAACATTTTATGCGACTTTTTCACCATACATATTACGTAATTAAATATAATTAAGTCGATGATTGAGCAAACAAAAATCCCTGACACGGTTCCCTCCGTAAATGAATTTCCTTTCATGTGCTTTAAACCGCATGTTAATTGCTTGATTATTAAAAAAGTTATGCCGATTCAAAGTTAGTCCGACCCGCATCAAACGAAGTGTCATAAATCGGCTGTTCTCTCTCGGACCCCTACGTTTCACGCTAAATAATTGCATAATACACAAATATCGTACCAGAGAGGGTCACAAGTTGCGGTAACATACTCTAACAACATTTTATGACCCAGTGACATCTGACCAATTAAAAAGCTGCTGATTAATATCAGTTTATAGCCGAAATTTCTTCAATTCTTAACGTGATTTACTGTGCGTCTGGTATATGTCGCACATGTCACGTGACTATCGGTAAAATTTGAGGCACTCAGTGGGGGGAAATGGAACGCATTGCGCACCGCTAGCGGGGTATTTAATTGTTTCCTTTTTGAAGTTTATTATTATTATCATCAGCATTATTATTGTATTATACCAGTGTCACTCTGCCTGTGTATTCGTGTATGAAATTCCGTTAAAATATAAAATAAAATAACAAAAAACTGAGCTTCTGACAGTCTTTTAAAGTCCATGGTAGATGTACAAATAAGAACGGGATATTATATATTTTTTTCCACCAAATTGATAATGCTTCACATATTTTAATAGAAATAAAAGGTATTACTCGATCATTATGATCTGGCCTTCTTGACTTCTATTATCATGAATATCATCTATGCACGGCATAGAGATCCAGTTTCTACCGGGATAGACAATAAATTTCATACTTTGTCCCAGATTTATTATATAGTACTGTGTCCGATTTACTGGCGAACAATTTATTTTCACTGAAAATATATGTTAATATCTTTTTTATATTCATAGAGAAATAATCATCCTTAGACAATCTAAAATGGTTTAGAAATGTGTCAGGGACACCTTACCACAAGTCATATAGGCGTTCACATAAAAAAATGTTGTCTGTTTTTGTTGTTAATTGTTTTACTTGACATTGTTAGAAAACGAGGTTGAATGTAAAGTAAACCCTTGAATCCGTACAAAAGTCTATCAACTCAATGTAATATCTATCAGATTAACGGGACAGACAAATTATTCTCACACATTATGAATATTTTAGCAACTACATTTTTAATCAACCCTGTGGTCGTGCCATTTGTCGCTATGCTTAATTATTTATGTTTCATACATTATGTTACGTACATTGGCCGACAATTTTTTAATTTATAAAAAAAGGCTAAATGTTGAGATATTCATAAAAGATGTACGGTAGTTGTACGATACATGTATTACGAGTAGTATGGACCAGTATGGACCTGTAATTCACGCATATATGGAACTACCGATTTCCCTCATTGATGCCTCAACAGGGGGTGGAGCGTTATCGATAATCGACAGGTTACGCGAATAGCAGATACAAATAGTATAGGTACCGTTTTAAAACGTTTAAAAACACATTTTTTGGACTAACTGCTTCCAAAATTAAATCACGAATGTGTTCAGAAAAGGTTGATAAATCTTCTTAGCAAAAAATCTCATTTTAGGTATTTTCAGTGATAATTGACTCCGTTGTCACCTTAAGTTTAGTAAATTTATAGATGTAAAAGTAAACAATTCATAATTTATAGATTATTTTAATGGTGATAGAAACTGAAAGTACAAAATGTCTACCTGTTGATATTTATTTGGATTTGTTAATGATTATACATCAGTGAGCATTTTCAAATCATACATATTAACAATCATAATGTAACCGGTGGGAAATATGTGCAGCAGGACCCTCGGACACCGTTGTTAGGAACCGACTGAGCTATCCGGCCGCTTACAATCTTCTCCCCTGAAAGGTGAAAGTGCTGAACCGTGGCAATAATTTAAGCAAAATTGACTTAATTTTTCTTCTATGGATATCAACTATTTACATTCGAAATATAAATAATTATTATAAATTATTTAGCGTCAAGTTCAGACTAAAATATTGACCATAATAACCAGGTAAGCATCGCTTGATAATAACCATACTTTTAACTGTTTCAACGTTTAAAAGGAACTCCACTCAGGTAAAAAAGCATAAAAGCATGGAAAGAAATATACTCATATAATCATACTTTGTGCTATTCGTATCCCAATTAGAGTGAAAAGAATTGCAACGCGAAAAAAACGGAGTGAGTGAATAATCGGAATGTTTGCACAACAGTTATTGGTAAAGACTTACACCAAAAGAAACATAAATCTCGAAGAAATTATTTCAAGTCTAAAAACTTCACTTAAGTTCCTTAAATAGTGTAATGATTATAATTTTCACGATAATGAAAATCCTTAATTAATAAATCTTTAAAACAACACAGGAGGCTATGCACTGAATGTTTCCATATAAAACGTCCTTAGAGGAACTCCGCTGAGGTCTACATCTAAAACAACCCATAAAATTATAATTTGTTGGGGCATTTAAAACAGACAAATATGTAAAAGATAACTAACAACTGTACTCGTAAAATGTAATTAAAAATTAAATGTAAATAAAAATCGTATTTTTGTACTATTCTTAGCCCGATTTGAATGAAACGCGAAGGAATGTTTTTCAATTTTTGCGCCATTTTACACAATTTAACTAACTTTAAAAAAAAAGGTGTGAGCGAATGATCTGAATTTTTGCACACAGGTAATTGTGCCAGGCCTTCATCCATGGACCATAAATCTCGAAAAATTATTTCTAGTTCCTTAATGTCAAAAACCTCAGTGGAGTCCCTTTTAAACATTATCAACTTCGTGCATAATTGACAACATAAATAATTTTACACAAAAATCAACTGATGACAGTCAGTCTGAAGTAAGTTTGTCAACTAAACCACCCGAGAAAGATGTGTAGTAAGGTTCTTGCATTTGGCTGACATCTGACACCTTGGAAACATTTAGAACCCAAACGTCGTCCTCTTTATCAAGTGTCAGCACCACAGCTAGAGTTTTGCTGTTAAACCCCTCTATTAGTTGCTCCCTTTCCTTAACTTTCGATTGGTCCACAGGGTGGAACTTATGAATAAAACATAGCGTTGCTTTAAGTCTTTCGGTGGTAGTTATTGTGGCAAAGAAAACATACAATCCTTTTAGCGGTGCAGTAAATCGCCCTGTTGTGACATTATAGCAATCGTCATGATTCGTATCAACCGTGTCAAACCTTATCGCTCGATATGGAGTTACGTTTGATAGAGACACCGAAAGGTGAACCGAAAAGTCCAAAGATAAGAATGTTGATGGACGCCAGTCTTTCGGCTTCGGCTTGGCATCTGCTTGTCCTTCTTCTATAATGTATAAAAGCGAAATACAGATACTTGTTTAAATTATAAAGAGAAAAACTAAATCAGATATTAGAAATTCTACAAGTCTTCAATTGTTTATATCACATTTCAATCATTTATTATTATCAAAAGATAATGGCATTGCACGACCGTGCATATATTTTGACGTGATGTCATTTGCGTTATAAATACTAACATAACTCGTAGTGTAAATATTAGCGTTATGCTAAAGGTGCGCCACTGAAAAATGATTCTTTTTGCACTTTAAACAGTATTTATTTTGTGGTATGTCATATTCGTGAGTGTTACTTCATTACTGAATTTATTGATCTCGTTGAATAGATAATATTTTGCACGCCAGAGGCTCGCATAATATAATTTTGTTCAACTCGTCAGTAAGAACTGGTTGAATAAATACTTTTTTGCTCGCCAGAGGCTTACATAATACAATTCTATTCAACTCGTTCAATAAATTCATGATTGAACCTACACTCATTCGATATCCTTTTTTATCATAACCCAAGCAACTTTTGCGACTCCTTAAAAACGGAATTGTACAACTGTGCATATTCTTTGACGTGGAGTCATTTGCGTTAAGACGCACTTAATGTTGTGAATGGAGAAGTGCCTTATTTTTCCGTTAACGGTTCTTATTTTGGATATGTGATAAAAGGAAAATTATATTTGTGTAGCTTATTTTTATATTTATTGAACTCGTTGAATTAAATAACATTATGCCTGGCAGACGCTTGCATATTCACCAAATATAACCTTCACTTTATCAATAACCTCTATATATAGTAAGCTTACCTTCAGAATCGCTTATCGCCCCACTTTCTTCATCTGAAAAGTACTCTGTTAAATATTTTGAAAGTGACATATTCCCGTAATCAAACATGAAACATTAGTGTTATCTCTCGTGTTAAACTCTACGACATAGCATTATAAAGTTCTTATCTAAAATTCTAATTACATCTATACATGAACCTTTACTAATCAGTGTAAAACAAGCAGAAGTGTTGTATAATATAATACTCATATTTTACCATTCTAAATATTCGAAATTCTTTTATGTCCCTTAAGTATGAACAATTTTTTTTGCGCAAAATAACAAATCAACACGGAAGCTATATCTTTGATTTATACAAGTAAACTGTACTTTAAAAAAAGTATAATAATGTTATTCTATTTTTTACGCATGATCTATATGTATTCGCATTGTTAAGACAAATAGGAACACATTTACATTCTGCATGATATTTTGTGTGAAACATCATTATAAATATAGTGTCGATAACTTTCCTTTTTCAATATAAGAGTTTAATTATTCATATATTTAAAATTCGCACAATAATTATCTGATGATATAGTTCTTATATATACAAAAGAAAAAGACTAACTGTTAATGACATAACATGAAAAAACATTATTTAGTTAAAGTGTAAATCATATTACTTTGTTATCTTTATGATGTTATTGCATGTAAAAAAGAAAATAAACAATTGCACAATAGAGTGTTTCTATAAACATTGATACGCTTAATATCCATTTGAGGATTACCATTAATGTGCAATAATACATAAATATAATAAAAATCATATAAAGACAAAGTATTGATTTATTAAATCAATTATCTTTGATACTTGAACAGTATTTGTAAAATAGGTTTGTTTTATGACTTAACCCTTTCACTGCCATAGGGACGGCTTAAGCCGTCCCTGTTATTTTCGGCGTATTTGCCATATGGACGGCTTTAGCCGTTTCTATAATAATAATAGTAATTATAATAAATTAATAATAATAATAATAAAAATAATAATAAATATAAAGAAAATTATACCATTGACAATAATTATTATTATACTAACAGATTTGGAAACATATATAATTATTATAATACATATAACAAATAATAATAATTATATTAATTAATAATATAGTAATTTCTTAGAAAATCCTCTGGCAAATAGGTGAACAATAAAACAATAACCCTCTGGCAGCGAAAGGGTTAAAATGATGGGTACTGATCGTAACAATAGGAGATACCTCACATGTAGCAGTTAAATGATATAAGTTTCAATCAGGTTGACTTCAAAGTTGAAAATATAGAGATTAGAGATATCGAGTGGTTTTCTTATTGCTAATGTATTTTATCATCCCGATATTATTTTCCTTTCTTAATTCTTTTGATTTGACAATGATATGAAACGACTAATCAAACAATAACATATTTATGTTAGAAAAGCCGATGGCCGCTTTAAAGGCAACCTGTACCCCTAAAGGGGTTTATTTTAGGTGTGTGGACTTTAGAATTACTGGGCGTATGTCTGCAACAACATCAACATTTGTACAATTTGATTCTTCTTTTGTAGTTTAGGTCTTTATAGATTGAACTTTCTTAATTGCTAACGGGACTAATTCAACGGGAACTGCTTTTATTTCTATTACTAATGTCATAATATTTATTATTTCTCTTTCATCACAATGAAATATAATACGCACAAATAGATAAACACAATGAATTTTTACAATTGAATTATTGTCACAAAGAATTATCATTATTGATAAACATACAGGCACACAAACGCGATCGTTTAAGTCGTGCATATGGTATATGTACGTATTTCTATGTTTTGCTTCATCAAGTAGTTCATACTCTCCCAAGTGGAACATTTGTATTCTTTGCATTCTGTAAAAAGATAATAACACAAATGTAAACGAGTATGTTTTTGCAACCATTAATCTACGCTTGATATTTCAATTCGTAACTCGACAAATGAACAGGTAAACACGACGCTGCAATTCTTATTTGATAAGTGTTTTACTACTTTTATTAAAACAAAAACAAACGTTTTCGTCAACAGAAATATATTGACACTTAAACTTTATTAAGTTTGACATTTTATAAATGACATACCGGGGCTCTTCTGTTTCTACACAAACAGACTGTTATGACTATTGTCAAAAACACGACAACCCCTGCTGAAGATCCTAGAATAATATATAAAATGACATTTCGTCCTTCTGGCTTATCAACGTCAACATCTTCCGTTTCCAAACTGCCTGCCTCTCCATGCGCACGAAATCCTTTAGCAACAACTATTGACAAAATGTTTGACACGTCTCCAGTATTACCCACTTCATCAACTGCTTTTAAGGCGAAGAACACTGTGCTGGTATAAGATTTCTCTGCGTCAACAATTATTTTCAATGCTTCCTTTTCACCAGAATTTAAAGGCTTAAAGCTAAAGTTTCCGACATCTAACAGCTCGGCATTATCAAAGTTGTCTTGGAGAGTTTTAAAATCATCGGAGATTCTGAATATATACGCCGAAGCTAGATAAGATACAAAATGATCAGGCAATTAATGTTTATGAAAGAAAAGAATAACACAATAAGATGAATAAGCATAAAAATAGCATAATCCTTTCGTTTACAAAGTTATCTTATCATTACATTAAAGTACTATGGTCTGTAAACTAACATATCATACTGACATTTACCTCGACCAATGCTTTTGTCATCACCCGTTGCAGTCCATGCTATTGTAAAACTTCTGCTTTCTCCTGACAATGTTGCTTTCGTGACAATATTATGGATATCAACATCGGTAATTCTTCCTGGTGGAACCGTGTCATTTAGTCCAGGATCCTCATAGTTTTCAATATAAAGGTCTTCCATCAGTCTAACACGCTGAAAACGTTCGTTGTATTCCGTCAACTGTTCCTCTGCAAAAGTACAATGCTCCATAAACACATATTAAAAAAGAAAACAAGATGGCCACGGTGGGCCTTGTCACTGTTTGGTTTGGAATGTCGATGTTTGTTTTTAAAAGCCACTAGTCGTTTAAGAAAGTTTATGAATGTTATGGAAGCCACCGGTTGCTACGGAATGTAAATGAGACTCACTATGATTTGTTGCAATAGGGAGTCATTGTATGTTATGGAAATCAGAGAATGCTAGGGAAAGTGGATGGTTGCTATAGAAGTCACTTTTTGATAAGACAATGCATTTGTTGTTACTGAAATCACAGGTCGTTATCGTCGTCACTTGCTGCTACTGAAAGTCCACTGTTGCTATTGAAGTCATTGTTTGCTTTAGAAGTCAATGTTTGCTTAGGAATTCACTGGTTGCGAAGAAAACTCAACGGTTTCTATGGACGGTACTGGTTGTAAAGGAAAGTCAATGATCTTTGAAAAAAGAGATATACAATCCCATTCCAAAGAAAGCGTCAAAGAATCGTAAGCAGAATAGTACTGCATTTTCTATTGTCGTAAGTAAGAATGTTTATTTTGTTAAACAGAAAAGAACAACATAGTGCGTCTATATGATTTTCAAGAAGGATTGTTACAAAGATTCGTAATCAAGTATGCGTGTGGAGTTTCTTTCGTTATGTCTGCTGGTTGAAACGTGATATTACCATGAAACATTGTGGTTGTCACACACTGAAGCCACATAAGGCTATAAAAATAAAATCATGTAAGGTATGATAATACGAAAAGTAACATGTGATAGAGGTTAATATAATGATTGGACAAACCTTGGTAAGGTGCTTGACCACCAGCAGTAACACTCTTAATGCGTACCTTTCCTTCTTGCCCTTTTGCAAAAATCTTCACATTTATGCGCCCAGCACCCAGGCATTGTGGAAGTATATATGCTGAATAAATCCCGTCATCACGAATATCATCCGGATCTATTAAAGTATTAATTATCAAAGAGAATTTATTATGTAGATTTGTTTTTGTAAGAGCCAAATAATTAGCTTAAATAAATATTCTGACATAGATGTATATGATTTACGTCTGTTCGAGGCTCTCACATGCCAGCGTTGCCTTTTAAACCCCCGGTGAGATATGCTGTATACGTTTACACAAACCATTGTACAAAGTTGTTTTTGTTGTTGTTGTTTTTTTGCAACTTTCACTTTTGTGTCATCATCCAGATTCTTCTTTACTTCATATAATTATGCAAGAACATTTCGCTATTTTCATTCTGACAAATCTTATCTTATGAGTAATGTTTAATTAGATAAAGGGGGTCTTTCACTCACAAAATGTATAATATTCGGTAGTAGAATTTGCAGATTCCATAACCATACCAACAGACACTCAACAAACTACAAACTCAAAATTTATATCTGGATTGAAAAATTAATAGGCTAATCGCTGTATTTAGTTGAGCTACAGATTGAAGTATGTTACCTAATTATAAATAAACTTGTCAGGGTTTATAACTTGGAGTATTTCAATTTCAAATAACCAGTACATTTTTAAAGTAAGTTAACCGAACAAAAGCGATAGCTTTAGTAAAGCATTCTGAGAAATACATGGGATAGACAATAGGCGGAACTTCATTCCATTTCGTAATCCATTTGGGGCATAAAGCAAGGTCGGATTGATGTTCGCATTCAAAATGAATGTGAAAAATATGGAAAATCTATTCCAATGCCAATGTGTTCAAATGAAACATTCTTTTTGGCAAAAGTGACGTGAAATGGCTATCATTTTAGGCGTGCAAAGGATATATCAAATCAGATAGAAAAACGCTTACCTAAGCCATTATCATACAAATATTCGTTACAACCTTTGCCTCCGTCGTTTGATTCTACACGAGCTGTGACGTTTGCATTTATTACTTGGGAGTATTCCTTAGTAACCTCTGTGTAGATAATAGGAAGCTCTCCAGTTTTAAAGTCGATCTTCGATGCTGACATATATGCCTCAACTCTTATTATATCACTACTGATTGGTGTTGATTTTACTACATATTCAAGTGATATTCCACTCGTGTCCATTGTAATCGTTGTTTCATAATCACCAGGCTGTTGCAACATTAAATTTTTTAATATGTTTTAAACACACAGAATCCTATTTTTTTAAGATTTATCGCATTTCATATATTTTCACATTCTTTACAGTCAAGCAAAACATAGCATAAACAACTTGTATGTATCAATAGCGAAAAAGAACAATATTATAAATGTCAATTCCAATGTTGATGTATGTATATTTTTTAATTTTAAAAATAATAAAAAGGTTAACCTGTTATTGTGAGGTCGTCCACCAGATAAAATGTAAAATAAAAAAAAATACAAGAATTGTTTACCTGAGCTATATCTGGAATCCGAACAGTCGCTGTCTTTTCTGCAGTAATAAGTGTTCTAGAGAAATTATTTGGGCCAGTTAGATTAATGTACAATCGACCGTTGTAATCAGATTGTACAATAACAGCAACAAATGTATTTTCTCCTTGATTCTTTTCTATAGGAAATGCCAGTTTGACTATGCTTGATGTTGTGCTGTTTATTCTCTCTGATGCAAGCTGGAATCGTAAAATGCGTATTCCAATTAGAACATAGATTTGTATTGAAATGCTTATGAAATACAATACTTTTACGGAAGACTTATACTTTTACGGAAGACTTTAATGAAATACTTAAAACAGGTGCCAAAATTGTCATTTACTCACTTGACATTCAAGGTATCGTGCACAGATGTATTACATGCATATGTATATTTATATGAAAAAAGTATATATGATGTGTCAGCTATGACAAACAAAATGCCTTTAATTAAATATTGCATTTTCATTGTGTATTAATAAAACATACCGACGATCTACCATTAAACTAAAATCAAGATAAGAAACATCTATCATCGGCAAATTATTTCGTTGACAATTACAAAAGTATCTTCTACATTCATAACTGAATACTACTTGAATTTTTACATGTTGAGTTCTGCTTATGCTAGTGTTACATGGGCATGAAAGATAAATTGTATATGCCACTGCCGCCTATGAACAAGCCTTAAAGATTCGTATCGCTGCAACATTTAAGGCTCCATTTTGATTATGTCATGCATGGCTGCAAACGATGCTGTCAGTCAAGTCCTACGTAAGATTTAACGGATTCGTGAAATAGTTCAAATATCATACCACAACGGTTTGTTTCGAGGCAGATGTGTGACTGCTAACTATTATTTCATCAAATAAAGCAATAAAACTAGATGTTCCAGTTTCCAGGTATGTAAAATGTTTCCCGCCGCTTTCTGTTGAAATATCAGCAAGAACAAGATCGGCATCTTGAGTGACAGAGACAGTGTGCACTGTGACCTTTTCTGTTAACATTTTTTGTCTCGATTTGTCAATGTTGCCTTCATTATTCTCCCCATCAGAAACGAGAATAATTTCTCCGTTAGTGGCCTCACCTTGTTCCATTTTAAATAACTGAATAAAAAAGAGAATATTAGCACTTTAATAAGGACAGAAAATACATTGTATGTATACCTTTCATATTTACTACTTAACGTTACAAAGACACTGACTAAATGTAATGATAGTTGTAAATTATGATAGTATCATGCACATACGCAATTCTGAATAATCTAAAAATGTATTTTAGACATTAATTTCTTAATTCGTCAATGTTACAACACATAAATTGATATTTAGTATAGTTTAATTTCCCAAGCGTATCAAAAGTTTTGAGAACTTCTTTTAAATTTACATCAAAGATTTTACTCCAATTCTAGATAACTTTCATCTTGACATATTCCACAGGACATCACACTATTGTATTTCTTACCAAATGTTTGCAAACTTCAAACACTTAACAGAGTATAATTAACAATTCACTTTTGTGCTTATAAATATTATGTTAAAGCCAATATTTTTTTCAACTGATATAAGGAGAGTTAATTTAAAACAGGTAAGTGTTGTCAACTTGTAATTCAAAAATGTCTGTTTTCAAACTATTAATTAAGATAAAGTGATGAGCGTATTGGATAAATAATAATTCAAAATTACATTGTTGCAATACAGTAAAAAGAAATTCTATTTAACAGTTACGAATGTGTAGTTCTAAAAATAATGTAGCTCCGTCAATTTGAAGATGTTTAATCTGAGATTGTTAGATAAATCTTCAAATAGACCTATTGTTGGCATATCTGTTTTCGTCAGTATTTATTATGTTTCTTATTATTTTCTTAAGTTTTATTAGCCAGCTTAATTTTTTTGATTACAAACCTCAATGGCACTTTCAATGCCACAACCAATACATGTACCTCCCTCAGCCACAGTAGGCAGGCTATTTATTAACTGATCTCGTACGGAATCGGATGTTACATTTGTCAGTTGTTGTACAACTGTGGCTGTGTTACTGAAAGCTATGATACCAAGATAGCTGCCTGACGGAATGAGATCTTTAATGACAAGCGTTGTTACTTGTTGCAGGATTTCAAGCCGTTTCCCCTGAAGTATTTATGCATTTATTTGTTTGCTTGTTTATATTCATGTTGCTGTAAGCAAGGAGAAGCAAACTTGTGAGTAAAAAGTGGAATTTAGGCAAACCGTGTCAGCCAGTTTAATATACGCTTCATTACAGTAAAAACTCCCTAAACTGGAAACCTTGTATTCCGGAATCCTCTATAAACCGTAAATTTTTCGCGGTCCCGACAAAAAAACACCAAATTCCGGAAACCGGAACGATTTCAGTATAATGTTTGTACATTATACGTTCGTAAACCACAAAGGAAAATTCGAGTCGAATGACTTCTTAAGATCTTGTGTATAGTTAATCTTTATTGAAATATTCGCATCTTTACAACACGTTGTTGATTGGTGACGGTGCGCCTATTGAATTAGAAAGGTTTGAAAATCGCAATTATTATGATACATTTGATTTATTCTTTTAGCATAATTTTTCTGGTAATGGAGTCTCTAAAGACGATAATTATGGGACAATTAGCGGTTACAAAAATAGAATACGTACACTGCACATCTAATAAGGTACAGTAATTAAATAAATTGTTAATATTGGAGGATCTAGAGACCAATGATTTCAGGTACATTTTCAATTCAATTCAATTTATAAATATTTGTTCTTGACCAACGGTGACCAATTATAAATTGTATCTATCTTCACTCAAAGATTTGCTCGATAAAGATGACCAATTCAATTGAAAATGCAAACATTCAGATCAATGAAAAATAATGAAAAACTGAAAGCATAAAATGTTTAATAAACAGGATATGGTTTTACTACAGTGTCATGATATAAATTAATACGTATAGTAAATGTCATTGCCAACAGAGAAACACTCTGCAATCCGAAATCCTCTCTAAACTAGAAATTAATGAGGTCCAGAGCATTTGAATTAAGCAAACATGTAAAATATCATATAATGATCAATTAAATAATTACGAAATAAACCATAGTGCCAAAAGTATCTGATGCAGGGGCATAACCTGTTTAAATTAGATTTGAAGTATATTCAACTATAAAATGAGAAAAACTATTATAATATTAGACTTGTTTTATACGATAGAACATTTCTATTTCTTTTATTTAAATGTCGAGGGGTGAAAGCGAAAAGGTTCTAACTCACATTTTTTACAAAATTCACTTTTTTAAAAATTTGTAACATAAACATCCAGATACATCTTATGTCAAAATATATTAGACTTAGTTTACTTATAATAGGGTGAAATGAAAAATTGTCCAAAGGTTCTAAGTGAAATTCACTTTTTAAAAAAAAAAAGCGAAAGGGTTCTAACTGCCTTTTCGCCTTCATTGAGTATAAAATGTACAAGATTAAATAAAAACAACTCAAACTGCATTAAAATAAATGAAATCAAAATAATTTTGGAAGCTTAACCTTTTATTGTATATCATTAAATAACATCATATAAGAAATTCATTAGTTTCAGAGTAGATGCTTTGATTTTGGAAGAAAACTTAATTACTTAAAACTGTTTCGCAGTTAACTCCACTCATGAAATTATCAAATTTTTAAAAGGGAAACAGTTCTAAGTGTACAAGGCCAGTAATGATCACACACTATCTTAAATGGTTTTAAGTGCCTGTGAGAAATTGTATGGTGATATTGAAGCTAGGGCTATAAATGACGGTAAGAAATCTGATAATGTTACTGAAAGTGATGCTTTAGCTGGTTGTAATAAATCAAGGCACGAAGAATCTTAAAGATAATGGTCTCAAAACCCGGCAGAGCCCTGGTTGACGTCCAGGGATGATTTGGGAACAACCCAGGGTACATTTTCCGTTACTCTGCTGCAACGTCCGGGATGATCCGGGAACATTAGGCATCCGACCCGGTTGGAATAAAATAATTAATTATATTATCACTGGGCTGATCCGGGAAGGTGTAGCTTTGCCGGCGTCATCCTTAGCCCTTCCGGGAACGAACGGGTTACCACCAGGGCAGCACTGTAGCTCTGCTGACTCAAAACTGGGGATGATCCGGGGTATTATATAGCCAGTAGAAGCTATGGTAGAGCCCCGGTGAATGCCAGCAGAGCCCCAGTGAATGCCGCAGAAGCCCCCTGTGAAAAGCCGGCAGAAGGCCCTGGAGGATGACGAAGTGAGCTACAGTTGATCCCTGTAGTGTCACGGCAAAGCCCGGTTTCATTTCAAAGAAGTACCCGCCAATTTGCATTGATGCGGTATAATTGTTTGTTATAAAACCGTTCCCATTTCCCTTCTGTCCAGTCTTGCATAAGGATTATTCAGAAATTCATCATGAATTACTTATTAAATAGGAGAACATATCATTAAGAACTGTATTTTTGAAAATTATGTAACAACGTCATCATTTTTTAACATTTTCAATCCATTGGGATTTCTAACCGGCGCTCTGTCAAGATCGTCTGGGGCTCTGCCTTGGTCAACCAGGGCTCTGCCTCCGTCATCCAGGAATGACCGGGTAAGCACCGACATGAATTATAGCTTTACCTGGGCTCTACCTGGATGGTCCGGGCGCATCCTGGGTGTTAGTTGGGAATTACCGTAGTGCTGCCGGGGTAAGTGTGACAGCAACAATAATTTCACCATCGATCATCCCAGTAACTTACCAAGGTTGTCCTGGGCTCTGCCAGGAGTAAGTGAGACCGCAACTTTAGATGACAATACGATAAGTGATATCCTTGAAAGTTAGACGTCAGGTGATAGTGATATATTTAGAATTGTTAAAAAGGATTTTTTGATGATTATCAGAAAACTGGGTATGATAAGGTAGGAAGGTTATACACAAAATTAAAATAAAAAATATTGTGACTTTGATATATTGGGCATTGCAAATGAACTTGGAGCTATGTTTTAGTCCAAGAAACTGAGAAGTGTAAATATAGCTAGTGCTATGTGTGATACTGAGATATTAAGTAACGTGAATGAAAGTGGTAGCTATGTGTGCCTCTGAGATATTAAAAAATGTAAATGTAGGTGGAGTTTTGGGTGACTTTGATGTATAAACAATGTAAATGAAAGTATAGGTATGGGTGACACTTATGCTAATGAAGGTGGCCTTTGGAACTTGGCCTTGAGACATGTCATCTCTTTTATGTATTGTTGCTACATGAGGGTGTCTCGTGTGTTATGCACATAATTTAAAAAATTGTGCAAGTCATATGTAATGCACAATTTTTTAAATATATTTTCAGTTCAAAAATATTCTGGGACTGTTTGTGAAACTGTTTATAAAGATATTCTTGGCCTTTGAATGAAGTTTGGGACAAGTCCAAAAAGTTTTTCAGACAATATTGTTCACTATTATATGATCTAAAAATAGCTGTTAATGTTATCTCATTGGTTCAAATAGTGGGAATCAGAACAAATTATAAAATCATATTCACTGGGTGAAGTATCATATTCACTGGCTGAATTGGATTTTCCCAATCTAAATTAGAATCAGACTCATATTCTAAATAACCGTACAGCATGGGACTCATATTCTAAAAACCGTACAGCATGGGAATGCCAGATGAGTTGCGTCATTTGAGCGCATTTTATTAATAAACAGCGTTAAAATGTCATTTTGGCTCATTTATTAGAATTGAACTATGTGCTAAGGATGACGTCATTCAGCCGTTCTTATTAAAGTTGTTCAAAAATAAATGCATACACTATTGCACGAAAATAGCTGTGGATGAAAAGACATGAATTCCCATGAATAAATATCTTTAAAATTGAAGGTAACCATTATAAATATGAAAGAATATGAATGTAACTGTTTTATTATGAATATTAAAGAATATGACAGAAAATGAAAGAAACCAAGAGCTGTCACAGGAGACAGCGAAGCTCGACTTATCAAATACTGGACACAGTAAGGAAGACGAACATTTGAAAGAAAAATCAATTATGCTATAAATATATTTCTTTATCAAAAAGCAGTCAAATGTTCTATACTTTTGCACAACATAATGATCTTGTCAATAAATGTTCGTTAATGGAAGGACAGCAATTTTAAATCTGAAGTAGAGCAACAATAATGAAAATTATAAGTTCAAAGTGGAAATAACTCTTGAAAAAAGAAGCTAGAGTTATGAACCTTGTCATGCATAATGTGAGTAATGAGAAAGATCAATTATTTATCTTAAGTCTAGAGTAGATACCATTTATAACAACAAAGATAATATTAAAATAAAATCAATTTACAAGTGAATTTCAAAAATTAAATGGGGATAATTCTGGGAATACAGGAGCTTGCGTTTTATAAGTCTTATCCATATGACAAGAAGTTATAGTAAAAAGAAAATAACATTTGTTAACATAAATTCAAATTTCAAGGGGGAATAATTCTGGAAGTAGTGACGCTAGAGTTATGTACCATGTCACACGGCATGTGTGTAATGATTAAGAAATAATATCGGCCTTAGCGGTGTTTATTGGCTATTTAACACCGGTTTGGAGTTTTGATGCATAGGAATTGACTACAAAGGCCGTAGGAACATATATTTGAAGTTGGAAGTTGATACATTTTTTGTACCTTAAGTATTTTACTGCATGAAATCTGGACGCGGATGCCGGGCGAGTAGGACAGCTCTCAATATACTTCGTATAGTTCAGCTAAAAATGATTATCAAATTGATTGGTGTTTGCTTTTTTGTTTTGTTTTTTTCAAACAGGGGTATTTAATGTCCATAATGTTCTTTAAAAGATTTGTACACTACCAATTATGACCTTTATTTATGTTTCTAATTTAAACAAAGTCAAACTTAAAATTTCTTGATCTTGAATGTGGAGTAAGAGAATGTCTCACACCTAAAATATGAAATCAAAATAAAAAGTAAATGCGAACAGGCCTATCTGGCAATTTATACTCCATCTCTTACTGAATAATTATAAATGACAAAATGTTGCTCAATCTGAAATTAAATAAGAAAAAAATCATGCTTTTGTTCTATCAAAATGTCACTTGGAACCTTTTCGCTTTGAACAAAAAATTCAAAATATAAGAAATTTTAAGTGCGAAACAGTTCTAAGTTACATTTGATTAAATATCTTGTTTGTGAAGTCTTTCCAAAAAATGTTATTATCATTGACATGTTTCTTAAACATTTCTATGTGTAAAATAAAAGTGTTGTGGAATTTTGCTATTTTACAAACATTTGAGACAGTTTTTTTGCTTCTCCTGTAAAATTTTGGAAAATGCACTTAGAACCTTTTCGCTCTCACCCCTCGATGTATAAGTTATTAAAGCTATGCTTATGAGCGTTAGCATGTTTAACTGTGAAACATATACATCTTTACCTCCATACTGCCGGAAACATCCAGCACAAGAACACGGTATTGTTCATTTTCTTGAATGAATTCAAATGTTGGCTGAGTGTCAGTAGAATTAGGCAGCTTATGTGCATCTAGAATCACAAATTATTAGATTATCGATACAACACATTTTATAAAATAACGAGAAATAAAGAATCCTAACTAAACGCACAAAACGACAAAATTGAAAATGTTGCAGGCTCGGTTTGATTGCGCCTGTCCTTGAACGGAACCTTATGGAAAGTGCTGGTTAGCTCTCACGCCCGTAAGCAAATTTGATAAAATTTAGAATTATAAAACATGCGCAGATGTGTTCATGGTTATCATGAAACCTTCAATGTGACACTGTCATTCCGCGAAAAGCGGCGTATGGTCCCCAAGTAGTATGAAAACAAGATTGCTCCTTTAAAAAGAAGCATGCGAGAGGTCTTTTGCTGCTGTAGAAGATTTGCTTGATTTGAAAATATTTGAAGGAAAGACACAATGAATGGTTATAAATTACAGTTATTTAACAAAATATAATTTATTATATGAATTGAATATATAGTACTAGTATCATAATGAAAGTTTGTTTTACACTTCATTTTTTAATGTTTTGAAAGATTATATGCCGGAGAAATGGACTTTTTTCTTGGCGCATTAGGGATACTTTTTCTACAAAGGTAACTAAATTTAAAATAAATGAAAGGTATATCAAAAGTAGTAGCAAAATAAAAGTTTCATGTAAAATTCAATAAGCAAATTTTCTGTTAGTGTTTTTGTAAGTATATGGAAACATTTCCTCTACATTTTCCAAAACGGCATAAAGTATGTAAATCAGACAATTTTAAGTCCAGGATTTACATAAGAAATGTTTTATATCATTTGATTGGAATAAACAGAATATAAAGCTGCAGGCCTCCAACCAATTTTTGCCATTTGCGCCAAAAAATCACCGTTGCGTTACTTAGTCATTCCTGTTCAAAAGTTAATTGAGCAGCAAAATTTCGGTACACGGTTCACTCGGTTATATAATAGTACATGGTGTTATTGTAGCTATAATGTTCACTGCTACTATGTATCGTCACTGTTACTATTTATCGGAACACGAAAAAGTAAAACGCTATTCAGAAAACAATACTGTAATCGATTTAAACAGTTTAAAAGATGGGTTACGAATGAAACATTCACGTAGCGCTAAGTAACGTAAATGATATTTTCTGATTTTTCTATGTACCGATTCGTTCACTTCGATGTTAATTTTTCGTTTAAGTTAAGTCGTATTTTGAAACGGAGCATGCGCAAAACAAATTTTGTAGACTGCTCCTAATGGTTTTCAGCTGTAAATGAGATTCATTTACTACAATCAGATACGCAATAATGGATGCCGCCAGCAATCAGTCTGAACACTATGGAGAGGTCTGATGACCTCTCCAATAATATATGAGTGTGCCCTAAACGAGAAAACAATGGGCGGAACAAACTAAGATGTAATTTTGAAAGGAACTCAGAGGTTAGGAAGCCTGCATATCACAGATAAGCTGTCAAAAGTCAAATTTAAAATCAGCCCACATATACTATAAGTGAATAAACAATGTTCAAGTTGGGAATACTGGAACCACCCAAATAGAAAATAACCGAATAGAAAGAACTAAAAATACACAAGCACAACAATAATTTTGTGCTAACGATCTTTAATGATCGAAAATAAAACATCCCTAATTGAATGTACATGGCTATTTTACGGCCTCAACACAGCACAAACAACGCTGATGTGGCAATAAAATAGAGAGAAATAAAGAATCCCTGAAGAACGCACGAAACGACAAAATTAAAAATGTTGCAGGCTCGGATTAATCAAGCATGTTCATGAACGGTAATTGGAAGTGAAAATTACCGTACACGCTCCCTAGCACGGTTTCAGCAGTATTCAACATGTAACATGAAATGGTAAAATTTGAATTATGAAACATCATCTGTGTTCATAAGGCGGTTATCAAGGAACCTACAATGTAACACGTTAGTGCCATTGCACGAATAGTAACGTATGATCTCCGTGCGCCCTTAACAGGAAAACAATGGATGGAACAAAATAAAATAGAATTTGAAATGGGGATCAGATGTTTTGAACCCTGCATATCACAGATAAGCTGTAAATAGACACGTTTAATAGGCAGGCCACAAACCAAGTTCGGAATACTGGAACCACCTAACTAGAAAGAAACCGAATGAAGTAACTTAACCCTTTACCTCATATATACGCGAAACAACGCACTTTCGACCCCTCCCCCCCCCCCCCCCGCTTTTATAGGCCTCAAATAGTGAAAAAAAGTCCTATTTAGGGCCCCAGGCACATGTTTTCGTTTGAGAAATGTTGCTAAAAAAATGAGCACTTTTTCGGCGCCGCCCCCCATCCAAAAGAAACATCAGGGGGTTGCCAGAAGGGGTATGTGCCCCCTTCTGTTAGGGGGGTTTGAAGAAAATTTTGGACTTGTGAGAGGCTAAAAATGACCCCAGGTCGATCATAATGTAACGTGTAACCAACGCTGAAAAGCCTTTGACTCTATCCCTTGAGAAGTTGCAGCACTTTGAAATAAATTTTGATGGAAAAAATCGAGGCAAAATAGTGATTTTTGGCAATTTTGAGATGTCCCCTCGTTGCCATGGTAACAGGAAATTTAAGACTGAGCATGTCGTTACAAAGGCAATGGTCAAGTCAACATTTGTGCCAAGTTTGATTAGTATTGAAGCATTTTTCATAGTTTCATAGCAGTTTGAACTTGTAACAGGAGGCTTTTCAGTGAAAACGGCCATTTTTCACAATACATGTATGCTTATGGGGGAAAGGGTTAAAAAAACACACAAACAGAACGATAATGTCGTGCTGAACGATCTATAAGACTGATGTATGGCAATGAGATATATCAAAATTAAGAAGCATTATTTTTCTTTTAAGTTGTTAAGTAAACATTACCTGAAAAGTCCTGATGATTGCTCATTATTTCCCAAGCACTCTTGGAACTGCATCGTTTGTTGTGCAAATTTTTCCCAGAAGGGTTATGCCACACATGTTTGGACGTTGTTGTGTCATTCCTTTCGCAGAACTTGGATAACTATGATCAAACAAGGTGTCAATATACGAGTAATTGGTCAGTGACCATTAGACATAATCTGATGTAAATGATAATTATTCAATTTGTTTAACAAAACGCATTTGTTAATGATCTGATTCAAACGCAAATTGATTCGAAAAATAAATATTATGCTCCTTTTTATAGAGTAAGGATTTGACACATACGTGTATTTTCAGATTAAAAGCAACATGAATTCTGCATACAGAATTCAGGCCGGCATCCAATATTGTGTATATTATCCTAAAACTTATAATGAAAGCCTCATTTTCAATTGAAATACTACATTGGTCTTTAGAGCAAAACCCAGAAATACACGAATAAGTACATCACAAATCAATTTACACACACACACATTCTAGTTCCTTAACAACTCCAAAATGGCTTTTGTATAGTCTATCACGCGAGATGTATTTATAAATAAGAACGGTAGCAAAATAATTAATGATTATATAAGAAAAATAAACTTAATATATCAAAGAAGGGTACTTTCATTTATAAAACAATTTTATGTCGAACATGCCTTAAGTTATTAATGTAAAGTCTTACGGCATCTATCCATTGATAACCCATCAAAGAAGCCTCTAAATTTTGATTTTGGTCGGGACAAAAGTCGCAATTATCATCCATTTTCTTTCCGGTATTTTTATAATCACATGCATTACTTTTCTCGCAATGGCTGCCAATTCCAATTTCTCCCTGAATGTCCTCTGTGCATCTAAATTTCACAAAATATACATCAGGAAACTGGCAGCAAAGCGAAAAAAAGTCAAACACCATTTCATAATTCCTTGCTTTTTTTAACAGGAACTGTCAATGTAGTACGATATGGTGATTTAAAATCATTAACATCATATTCAACTGCATGTTGTAAATTATATAACTAAATATAGATACGGAACAAAAAAGAATTAAGGATACAAAAACTAGACTGAGAATTAATGATTTGAGCGCCGTATCTCTTTAATAAAGTTTGAAACGTAACTTTTCATTCACAAGCATACAAACCCTGTTGGTTTCCACTCTCCTTCGTGCTGGTAAAATTGAGAACTACCACCGGAAATAGGATACTCATCATATAAGCCATAACGTAGATGACCAAACTCGTGAACAATCACTCTATCTGAAATAAAATTTAATCAAATTTTTCACTATTCACAAACTTGCAAAGCTGTTGCATATTCTTGCATAAAATAACATTAATTATGGAGAAAAAAAGACACGCGTTAATGGAGATATTTACGTGACCAATATTGTTGCATTTTCCTCAAATATTATTGATGTGAAAGTAGATTACTGCAATGATGGTCACGGTAGTTTCATTATTTAAACATAACTGTCAAATGATACCGCACTAACACATATAAAGTATGAACAGAGGGTTTCGTTATACAAAAAATAGATAACCAAATGCGGAATAAAAAGAAAAGAACTAATGCACCTTTATGCATATCTAACTACTGCACAAACCCTTCAGGGTTAGACTTTAAATGAGTACTTGTGTTTCTGCAGATGTAATTGCATGGCAAAAAAAGAAATATGTCGTGTGTATGGGAGCAATGGTGTGGTGTGGATTCAGTAAATGATGAATCTCCTGCACGCCGTCCGAAAACTCCAACTTTGCCAAAAAAGTTGAAAACGTAAAGGATTTGATAACTACTGATGCAAGGTTTACAACTACGTATATAGCTAAATGCGTTGGTATCTCTGTAAGAGCCGCTCATACAATGCTCAAACGTGATTTCAAAATATGTGGGATTAGTGCCAGATGGATACCCGATCTTCTACAAAAGAACAAAAACTTGCTCGGGTAAATATCTCCAAACAATTGTTGAAACACTTCCCTAAACAATTGATCTTTCACAAAAATCATCACTGGCGATGAGACGTGTGTTATCTTTTATGAGTCTAAGCGAAAGATACATAACAAATATGGGCAGCCCAAGAAAGACTAAGTCCTTGCATATCAAAATCAAGAAACAAAAGTGATCCTTCGGAAGCATTAATCACAACAAAAATTACATGAACATTGCAGACTCGGTTTTCTTGAGTCTGCACACGAGGGAAAAGGTCACGCATCATTTGCGTCAAAAAGGTCATGTATGTAATTGCCACATTGGCAACAGGTGCGCATAAAAATAAATGAAATTTGCAAGATTTGTCTACAAACTAAATTTGCACCTTGTTCAACAACAGTGAGAAAGTCTAAAGGTTAATTTATGTTTTAATTTCGCTGTTTCCAATTGTTTAAGTAATTATCTAATAAAGGGTAAATGATACATACCATGCAAACCCCAAGATGTTTGCCCTGTTTTCAAAATAAATGATTCTGAATGAAGGTACATATATTCACCTCCCTTGCCACATGCTGTTATCCCATTTACTCTTGGTGTGCCTTTTTCGTTCTGTTTAGTGTTGTCAATAATTATTTCCTGTTTAATGTGTGAAGGTATCAGAGCCTTCTTGTACTTTTCCTTATGCTGCCATGTCCTTGGTACAATTACTTTGATTTTCTTGAAGTATAAATAATTCTTGGTGGCTGTAAACAGTAGTTCAGACGCGTCCGTAAAAATTTTCTGCAATTTATGAAAGATCATTTATGACAAATAACAGGACATATTAAAACATATTGTGTATAAATTAACTTTCTGTGAGCTCAACCTTTTCAGTTTGTTAGATTTCTAGTATTAGCCCAAACCAATTCTAGCACAACAATTCAAGCTAATTTTTGCTGACAGTTGTATGCTAACAATATGTGAAATATGTAAAATATGAAAAAAGCTTTAAAATAGAAACATTATAACAGTATCAAAAGAACTAACTGTCTTTAAGCAACTTAAGTGACTTAACTTGTTCTTACTATTTTCTTCAAAATTAAAAGATTTCTTTGAATAAAATACAGCAAAGTGAATAACTTAACATAGAAATAATTGTACTATAACTTATATTCAGGGCAAAATAAGAACTGTTACAATATTGGTTATTCATGACAGGACAGAATAAAAAGATCGAGTATCATATGTACCAGGTACTTATTCAAGAAACGTTCATTACTTATATTCTTACTTACTTCAAGGTAATCTTTCAAACTTTACTGATTTTGACAATCATATTTGATTTTCTACATGACCAAATATGTATCATAAACAATGTAGTTTAGTTACAAATGCATATATATTTTAATCGTATAAGGCTTTTCCATATTTAAAAGTAATTTGAATTTTCTGTTTTTGACATGCGCGGTGTTTAGTTGGTGTGGGATTTGCACATCTAAAAATTAAATTCCGGAGGCATGATGTAGAATCACTACAACAGCTAGCCGATGAAACAGAGAAATCGTCTACAAAAATCGCCGCTGTATGTTACCCTCAGTGGTCATGGTGGCAATGGAAAGCTTTTCAGCAGAGCGCAATAGATATTTGTCGCAAAGTGTGCGAACGTTTGTTAAAGTCAAGACCAATCAGATTTAGATACACTGTTCTAATAGCTTAGTGCTTAAATAGGTGTTTCAAACTACTTGTTTCTATGTTCATCATACAGCATTGTTTAATTGTTTTACAATTTTCTTTACTGTTCTGTTGTAAGGAATAAAAAAAGAAATTAGAATTTTGACATTAACTCACTATTTTTTAATTTTTAGCCGTAAAGATATTTAACGTCGACCTATATACTATTTTTTGTTTGTTTCTTTCTTTGGGTTCATTCTAAACAATTTTTCTGCTGGTGGGAACTGAGAACATCTATGCGACCAGTGCATACAAAACCTACGAACACACCTGTGCCTTCTGATCGTAGTCTGCAAAATTTGCATTTCAGTCAGTACATATTTTGAAAAAAAAATCCAAAAAAGAAGATGAAAGGTTTTGTCCAGATTTAAGATATTTAGCGTGGTAATGATTTAAACACATACATGTATGACACGCTTGTTCGTGTTGTTATTACGTTGCTAATGTATAATTTGATGTAAGTATCTCTAACAAGAAAAGAAGAGTTGGTAAACCCAGGTGGAACAGCAACCTATCTCGCCTATGGAACAAACTATGTGAAGCTGAAAGAAAATGGTTGAAAGGTTCTATTTGACCAGTTAAAAATCATTTAAAGGGTGTTTTCATATCTGCTAGAAAAGATTTTGACCGAGAAGTTCAAAAGTGTAAGAGAGCATATTGGGTTTCTTTACAGAATGAGTTACTTCTTGATTGTGAACATCATCAACAGAAGTTTTGGAAAACCATAGGCAAGATAGGTGTTTGGTAATCAAAGAAAAAGGGTATACCAATAGAAGTCATTTGTAAACATGGTTCTATTACAAACAATATAGATATATAAAGTATAGTTTTTGATAAATAGAAAAAGATTTTAGCAGTTTGTTTGTTAGTAGACAATGCAGTGCTGAAACTACCGTACTTAATAATGGTTGTCAAAATAATAGTGATAGTTTAAATGAAAATATATCTATAATGGAAATAGAGAAGGCTGTTACCAAAGCACAGTCTGGTAAATCATGTCGTATTGACTCAATACCAGTAGACATTTTGAAAATCCAGTGTTCAGTGTCGTTTTTACATATACATATTTTATATAATGTTTGTTTTAATACTGATAATATTCCTACAGAGTGGGGCAAAGTTATTATCAGCCCTATTCCAAAATCTAGTACAATGGATATTCGAGATCCACTTTCCTATAGAGGAATTGTTTTGCCGTGTGCTATGTATAAAATCTACTGTTCAATCCTGAATGAAAGGTTGTCAAAATGGACCGAATCAAATAATATTTTAGTGGATGAACAAAATGGGTTCAGAAAGGGTAGAAATACAACTGATCATAAATCTTCATTAACTAATATTATTGATACTAGAAAAAAGGCCAAAAAATCTACTTTTTGTGCATTTATTGATTTCAAAAAGCCTATGATTTTATAAATAGGACTATTTTATGGGACAAATTAATGAATTCGGAAATTGGTGTTAATGGAAAAATGATGAATGCTATGAAATCTCTATATAGTCAAGTTACATCTAGTGTTAGGGTTAACGGTTTGTATACAGATTGGTTTCATGTTAAATGTGGTTAAGACAGGGCTGCTCCTTATCACCTTTGTTATTTAATTTATTCGTAAATGATCTGGCAGTATCTATAAAAGCAGCCGGTAAGGGTATTTGTATTGATAATGAAAAACTATGCATCCTTTTATATGCAGATGATATTGTACTTATAGCTGAAAACGCAGAAGATTTACAGTTCATGTTAGATATGTTAAATAATTGGTGTAACAAGAATACTATGATTGTAAATCCTATGAAGAGTAATATCATTCAATTTAGACCTGTTTCTGTTCCCAGAACTTCATACAGTTTCACATGTGGGGACCACAGTCTGAAAGTCGTTGCCAACCATACTTACCTAGGTCTGTTACTGACCGAGATGCTTGATTTTAATATCATGGTGAAATCTGTTGCTCAGAGTGCTGGTAGAGCCCTTGGTCTCCTTATAGCTAAGTCCAAGTCCTATGGTGGCATGCCATATAAGGCATTCACAAAACTTTACGATAGTACAGTATGGCCTGTTATTGCATATGGGGCATCTGTTTGGGGAACAAGATCCTATTCTTGCATAAATGCAGTGCAGAGTCGAGCAATGAGATTCTTTATGGGGTTGGGTAAATATACCCCTATTAATGCCATTTATGGTGAGTTTGGTTGGCAACCCCCTCATGTGAAACAGTGGAGATCTGTGTCTCAACATTGGCATAGAGTGAAGTTAATGGATAGTGAGATAATTAATTTCAAGATTTTTAGATTTTGTGACAGTAAGAGTAATAATAGGTGCAAAAATTGGCAATTTCTGTATAAGAAACATCTATTGTCAAACAGTTTATTGAATATATCAAACGATTGTATTAGCATGGCTTCCAAACAGTTTTGTGATAAGATAAGTAAGTGCACCATGGATACTTTCATTCATGATTGGAGAACCAGTATACAAAATGTCACAGGTCCCTCTGGTAGAGGTAGAAATAAACTTAGGACTTATACGCAGTTTAAATCTGTTTATGAAACTGAAAAGTATGTTGAATGTACAACTTTGTCTAGTAAATACAAGTCTGCGTTAGCTAAGTTTAGATGTGGAGTTGCCCCCCTCCGTTTAGAGGAGATATGAAAATATCCCAGAAGAACAGCGTCTATGTCCGATTTCTGAACTTGCAATGGAAAATGAAGTTCATGTTTTATTTCATTGCCCATTGTATCAGAGTCTCAGAAATGATATTGTTAAAAAAGCTATTGAGATTGATGCCTCATTTAACAATTTAAGTGATCAGGATAAATTAAACTTTGTACCCCCAAATGAACATATGTTAAAAGAGATGTTCCAAATTTTAAAAGCCAGAAACAACCATTTATATAAATAGGTAAACAGACTACATTTCAGGATTAGTCATATATCCTTTTATTATAAGTATTAGTAGCGTAAATAGTAAAAAAGCAAAGTTATATTATTTCATTCTATGTAGGAGATGGGGTATATATACAGATACTGAGAGTTTAACTTTTTTCCTGAAAATAATATTGTATTAAATAAGTTTTAGTCTTTAGAATATTTCCTTATTCATAAACAAGAGTGTCTGTAATGTCTGTATCTCACCTCCTGCCTGAAGTGAACAGTTAACATAATTTTAAACACATAGACATTTTAATATAGAACTATGATATATTTTAAATTACATAAATAAGTTGTTTTATCCCTATGTTTTGATAATCACTACTGATCAGTTCATCCATGGTCTAACCATGAATGATAAATGATTTTGTAAAATCATTTTTTTATATTGCGTGATAGTGCTTTTATTACAAACTTTAGTATTTTACAGTATAATTTCTATGGCAGTTTTTAAGTCGTGGTCAGTAGGGGTTATCAAACTTTTAGAATGTAAAAAGTCTATTGTATTATGTAATTAAATGTCTCAAATAACTTTTTAAATAATGGCAATGTGCAATTATGTCATCCTATTGCATGTAAATGTTGAGAATGTGAATATACGTAAGGGAGGTAAATCTACAGTACATATTATACATTTCTATCAAGTCTCTTGTAATTCTTTCGAGAATGGCGATATACAATTTCAATGTTTTAATTGTTTTATATGTATATATGTGTATAGATGAGACTATAATAAAGAATAAAATAAAGTTGCTAAGCAACGCTAATAATCGCAATTAACAAGAAGTCTCTTATTTTAAATAACTGTCTTACTAATTTTTTACAGTTAGATCAAAATAATTGAGTTGATTTAAGATAAATAAAATTGCCGCTTTAAAATACTTCAATTAATTACGTTAAACGTCAATTAAATTTTTCGACGTCATTTGTTAACAAAGTGTTCAAATATATGTTGTTGTTTAAAAAGCTATATCTCGATAAATAACCTTTTGATTTGCAAACGGTTTTCACTATCATCTACAGAACAAAAATCTACAATAACGAGATAAAAACAAAATTTCGAAAAAAATGTCATTAAGACCGGGTTTCTCGCGTCGTGCGATAATATTTATAATTTCAATATACTAATATATATATTTTTATATAATTTTTTTTACCTGTATACGCTCTAGAAGAAATTCACTGTCCTCGTTGTTGTCCTGTATAACAATATACATATCTTCATATCCGCCATTGTTTACACGGATTGGAGCGATGTATTTGAAGCACCAACACATTATCAGAAATACCAAAATCTTCATGTTTTGCTCTCTCATTAAATCGTGTACAATTCCTTTTTTAAGTGATATATTTAAGATGATTTTATAAATTTAAACAATGCAAACGCAATGCATGATCTATCGCTATCAATAATGGGTAGCAATCGCTTTGTGTAATATTATACATGTATTATGTTATCTTGCTATACCTTTCATGATCTGTTTACTATGGTGGCTGTTTTGTGCCATGTCGTATTTTCGCTTTACGGGAAGTAAATAAAACGTCATTCTGCGAGGGCGCGGAACGAGATTTAAGAAATAAAACGGCGGGGATGCAGCGCGAAAACACGCCAATTAGCGGGGCGCGGGCGAAGGTTTATTTATTAAACAAGTTTTTTCTTGAATATTCTACTTATTAATTGTAATTAAGAAATACGTGTGTCTTCACATACATTACTAATACAAACCGGACGTTATGGTATAAACAGAATTCCTAGAAACGATATTGTATATATTGTAACCTTCGTGACATCGAAGATGAAAACCATTTTATATTAGTATGTACCTGATTTCTTGAAATTCGTGAAAAATATATTTAGAGATACTACTATGCTAGACCAAGTAAGTTCAAATTTATTGAACTGTTAAATTGTAATAATAAGAAAATATTGTTGTACATTAAATGTCATGTGAATATTGTATACTATAGTATATATAAATTGTACAAATTGTAAGATGATGTACCATGTACAAGTCTTGAATAAAATTTCTGTTCTATTCTATGCGTCAGTTGAAAATGTTCTGTTATGTATTGTGGCTGATTTGGAACACCTTTGTGTTTCGTTGTGTTGCTAGCGATAGCACGCCAAAGCGCCAAACAGTGCGTTTTCGCACTGTCGTCTTGTCGATAACGATGCACGCCAAACGGCGCGTTGTCGTGCGGCGTGTTGTGTTGCGATGTCACATCGTCGCTCGGCTCAAATCAAGGATTGGCTATTTGTATATACATAAGCCAAGCGACAGGGCGACATTGCGACAACGCACCGCACCACAACGCGCCGTTTGGCGCAGTTCGCTAGCGACAAGACGAAAAGGCGATAACGACATAGGTTGTGTTGTCATTATCGACAAGGCAACGCGCAAAGTGTACCAAATCAACCCCTAATGGGCTATAGTCATGCATTATTAATTTCCTCGAAAGTAATATGATATGTTTGATCAATTTACAACACAGTTTTGACTTTCTTTAATCATATTGATTTTTGACATTTATGTAATTAAATGCAGTCCTATATAAACATGTATATAGAATGCAGGGACTAAAATGCATTATTACAGAAAATGAAGACGTTGAAGAAAGTACAATATGTGCAGAGTTAATAGCTTAATTCAGTGTTTATTCTAGGATAGGGGATGCATTCATGTTTTTTGAGAATTCTCCCCTATTTTTTCAGAGGCAGGGGGGAACATTTTACATAGAGAAAGAAGGCAAAAAATCAACAAATTAAAACAATTCTCACTTTTCGATAACTCCCCCCCCCCTGTTTTTGAATCCCAGAATAGTCCCTGTTAATTTCAATCTCATTCGCATTTATAATTTTGTAGACAACATTGAATATGTAGCAAAACGCGCAAAATATAGATTTGGTGTAATAATAGATTTAACTTAACGACATTGTCTGTACTGATCGATATGCTATACATTTTTTGTTGCAATTATGTATTGAAATAAATTCCTTTTTGTAAACTTTAGTGTCACTTCAATGAAAAATATACTATAAACAGACAAAGAAATACAAATAAATACTAGACTACATGTATGAATTTTCTTTTGAAGGTAACAGGAAAAATATACTCTTTGCTGGTAGTATAATCAAAATTATGAAATAAGCACTTTGTGTGATTTTATTTTTTCATAATATCTGGGACTTAAAAACTTAAAATATCATATATAAGCTATTTTAAGTCCAGATATTATAAAAAGAGCTGTTCATGAAATGTGTACTAAATCTTAATAAATTGCGCTACTTTTTCTGTCTATAATCACGAACTTTATGATTAGCCTTTACCATGTTTACCCAGGGTTCTAAAATAAATCGTTTTCTGCTATTTATAAAATGTTGGACATTTACTAATGTAACGTTAACTTTGAAAGTCAATGTTCAAATGTTAATTTATTAGTTTTTTTGTCAAGTTTTGGGACACAAATTTTATTTTGCACTTAATGAAACTAATCAACATGAGCACATATCAGGTTGTGTGTGTTTTAATAGACGTTGGGCTTTAAACTTAAATTTGTATATAGTTACCATAAACTTAGTTTGATTTAATTTCAACGTGAGTTTAAAAATCAATAGTGTCAATTAAGTACATTAAATGTCGAAACTTGATGGTACATACTGTCACGGATTTATATTACAAGTGTACAGTGTATATGGTTTTTGTTTTTAATTCACCTTTAAAAACACGTTTTTATGGTGGAAATAGATACATGTACCACATTCATGTAAGAAAGAAAGAATTTACTGATAATAATAAGGGTTGAGCACGATGAGGTCAGGGTCTTGCTATAGTAGAGTTTTACTATAATAAAAACACAATACATGTATACATAGGCCAGGGTCTTTCAAATAGAATTCTTTTTGAAAGACCCTGCATAGGCCTATACATGCACATATACACATGTATAATATTAACTGGGTATTTATTGTATTTCAAATTTCGTCTAAAGCAACTGATTAAACATTTAACTGGCTGTCGCACCTTTTTTGCTTATCTACATTTTTTATGCGTTTATTTAAGGTCGCCGCCGGAAAGCCCATATGGGCGACCGTACACTCAAGTCGGGCCATCCTAGAGCGTCCCGCCGAGATTTTTTCGTCAATTTTTCCAGCTTTATTGGTGGAGGAAGACCCCAAGTGCCCCTTCGGGCATTATTTCAGGCACGAGCGGGCACCTTGGTAGAACCACCGACCTTCCGTAAGCCAGCTGGATGGCTTCCTCACATGAAAGATTTCGAAAGGATCGAACCTACAGCGGTGAGGGACCTGTGATCTCAAGTGAACGACCTTTACCACTCGGCCACGGAGGCCCCGTGCTCTACTACATTGTCTATGTTTTACTATTTATACTGCATGTATATTGTGTGCGTTTAAAGCGACACTTATACCGGAGTAGTCTTACAGGTTATAAACCGATCCGGTGGGATATACTATCCTCCGGTCCGGTCGCTTCTGGCCTCCGGTCTTTTCCGGTCTATTTTGACCGGGATTAACTAGAGACCGGCGAATAGTATCATATTTACTGGCCCGCTCAAAGGTCGATCTTTCTAGATGAAAAAGAGTGTGATATAAGATATTTTATTTTTTTGTATATAAAGTATTTTGTTTCCGATAGATTGTGTTTTATTTTACGTATTTTTGTTGTTCTTTTTTTTATTTATTTTAATCATCAAAGATATAAATGTAAAAGCATACTAATTAAAATTTACATGATATAATAATATCGTTTAATATTGGTACTTAACCACCGTACCATTTTCAATTATTTTTCATGATTTTTGTCTTTTTTACGTAAATTCATAATTTGAAATGAGTTTTTACATTTTGGAAATGATAAAATGCATCCTGTGTGAGATATGTCATTATTTCTGATTTCATTTGTGCATAATGTTGATTTATATATGTTCTGTGTTGTTATGTAATTGTCAATGAAATGATTGATGATATATCATGCCGATTTTGCCAAAATATATGCAACAGTCATTTTTTTATTAACATGTTGGTTTATAATTATAATTATTAGTTTTTATGGTCATACATGGAATATCGTTTAACAACGGTAACGGATATATACAATCATTTAAAATTTACTTGTGTAACACATGATCAACACCGCACTTGTTTATTGTCCCTTATTATATTTATATCGCTACTAGCGAAGACTTTTGTCCCAATCATTAAATATCTTAAAAATATCTGTTCACACTTAAGATGACACTGATTATATTACTATGTTCATTATGTTGAGTATAATTGTTTTATTAATCAATAATTGTAATATCTGTTTCAATATGTTTGTTTTTCTACATATTTTATAAAAATGATTCCTTTTTCTTTTTTTGTGTGTTTTATGTGCTAATTTAATCTTGAGCCATTACGCTTTTTTTTTAATTGTGATATAAATTTTAAAAATTCAAATTGTCATATTGACCGACGATTATGATTCTTAAACTAACTGGAAAAGTCAGTAAATTATCATCACATTGACAATTCATTAACCATTTATTTTACTTTATCTCTTTTTTTAATTGCCAAAATCACGGATTTAAATCCGTACCAATATCAATCAATTGAATAATTCATAAAATCTTATTTGTAACTATAATATATAATTCCTCAGAATCTCTTTATTAAAGCGAATAACAAATTAAATAAAATGTTTTAAAGTTGATTTGCCATATCAATATCATAAAAATGCATCTTTTAATTCAATTATTGTATATATTTATTGTTTTTATCTTACATAAATAAAATGCATACTATTGTTATTTTTAGAATTATATGTTTATGTATTACAGTAAATGAATAAATTTGAAAGATGATCTGTGTCAATTAATTATTGTAACCAAACTAAGTGACAGACTTTCATTTTTGGGAATAAAATCTAATATATTTCTAACGATATCAAAATAAATCTTCTCCAAAACCGGGAGAGACCGGACGATACTATTCGCCGGTCTATAGTAAATCCCGGTCAAAATAGACCGGGAGAGACCGGGAATTACCGATAGGAGACCGGCGAATAGTACATCCCCGATCCGGTACGGCTTTTATCCAAATCAGTTCGCGAATAAAAATGGCTGCGCCCACAAGGAAAACTGTTGAATTATTTTATGATGTAGTTTCCCCTTACTCATGGTTTGCATTCGAGGTAAATTTGTCCATACTTGTAATAATGGTCAGTTTATCTTGTTTGATATTTATGAAGTAACAGTAATCGTAGTATATGATATTTGATGTCCAAAGCATATGAATCATTTCAACAAAGGTTATGACATAGTTCTGGCTTCCAAAACTTTATAAGCCGCTTTTTAACATTTTTGTTTTTCATCTGATGCGGCATTAAAGTTTTGGATTAGACCCGTTACGAAACCTAACCAG